AAAAAAAAAAAAAAAGAGACGGGCAAATACTCCGGAAGAGGTCAGAAAACACAATAAGATCAATAGTGAATGGATATTATGAAGCTGCTGCCTGGTGTAGGTGCTTGTACATTATCAGTGGCAATCAATTAAATTCAGCTCAAGAATTTTTTTCCCTTTTTCTCCTCACCCTTGCGTTCCTCCCCCTCCTCGTGATCTATCACATTGTCGGCATACACATACTACATATACCATATCAGAAACCTATCATTGGCCTTGAACTATTAATATCCGCTCTTTCATTTACTCCTGATTCAGTTTCAGAGGATCTACTTGCTTTTCTTCTTTGATATAGTATATTTGAGATCCATATGTTTTAATCCTCCCTATACTACTTACCCCAAATGATACTATCTGACTGCATCCATCAGAGATTCACTGCCGGAGGCTACTAGTATATGAAGTCTTGCACTCAAACAGTCTCCACCAGTGAACATACACCAGTAGCTACTACTCCTATTACTACTACTCTTCATTGTAGGTGAATCTCGAGTCCCGTCCGAGGTCGCGTCAACAGTTTTCCCCAACCAGGCATATCATATTCAATACCTAGGTATACAACACTTCCTAACACCATCCAGAAATATTGGCATCATGTATAGCATCATATATCATAATTTTTACTGTTCATGTTTGAATGGGGAAAATGACATATCCCCCACTGGCACAGTTGATAATGTCTGTGCATCCAGTCTATATATTAATTGAGTCTAAGTATACTCCGTGTCGTTTCTTTCTTCTGCTTTTTTTTTCTGTGAAATATATGATAATGCTTTTGTTGTTTTTTCAATGGGCTATGCTAAAATAGCCAACAATCACAGAGCATGTTGTGGTTCTTTTGTGCTGTCAACAGTGTTATCGTTTCAAAAAAAAATCAAGAACTTTGTGGAGAGTCTAGACTACTAGTAGTTATGTGGAAAACGCATAATCATCCCCCGTCATCCGCAAACCCATCCTCCGACCGCTATCATTGTATCGTAATTCGAGACCTTGCATAACGAACCCAACATGTTGGGAGGGGCCACAGCCATATAGATTGTCCAGCCCCATCCATTCATCGATCTCACGCTTACAAGTCAGCATCATCCTCATCGGGCAAAGGCTGTGACGCGGCTTCTTTCATCTCGTTCTCGTACTTCCTCATAGCTTCCGGGTCGACTGCGACCTCGGGAGGAGCAAGAGCAGGGGCAGCAACGAATTCCTAGATACTACCTTAGCAGGCGATAACAGTGGACCGCACAAATGTAACTTACCAGCGTGGGGTTGCCGACCAGCTTCCGGGCAAGCCAGATGAAGGGCTTCTCGAAGTTGTAGTTCGACTTAGCGGAGATATCGTAGTACTGGAGGTTCTTCTTGCGGTGGAAGGTGATGGTCTTGGCCTTCACCTTACGCTCCTTGACATCAACCTTGTTGCCGCACAGCACGATGGGGATACCCTCGCAGACACGGACGAGATCGCCTAGACGTTGGGTTATCCAGATATTCACATGCCGGGGAGAGAAAAAAGAACTTACGGTGCCAGTTGGGGACGTTCTTGTAGGTGATACGGGAGGTAACATCGAACATGATGATACCGCACTGGCCGTTGATATAGTACCCATCTCTGAGACCACCGAATTTCTCCTGACCGGCAGTATCCCACACATCGAACTGGATGGTTCCCAGGTTCTACCACAATCGTTAGTCGCCCAAATACAGGATGGCGGGGTCCTTGGCGGGACATACGGTGGTGAAAGTGAGAGGGTGCACTTCGACACCAAGAGTTGCGATATACTTCTTCTCGAACTCGCCAGTAAGGTGACGCTTGACGAAGGTGGTCTGCAAGGAATGATGTTAGTGATAGCGTCTCATTATCGGGTTAAGAGATCTGGCGATGGCGGCGGGGAAGGAACGATAAAGAGTGATGACAGAAAGGCCTCCTGTGCCGAGGGATAGCGACTATGAGATATGCAACAAAGACATCTAGATGCTCTTTAATGTCAAAGAAAATAGATCCAACTTGCCTTTCCAGTACCACCGTCACCGACAAGGACAAGCTTAAAGGTTGGTGGGGCAGCAGCCATTTTGATATTTTATATGAGAAGAAAATATGAAATAAAGTCTCAAAAATGATGAGGACCCGGAAGAAGATGATGCGTATCAAAAGTCGACAAACGGTTGCGACTGATGATAGATGAAAGGACGCGGTGTGTACGGTGAGATAGGGCTTTGAGCACAGAGAGGGAACAAAGTGAAAGGCGAACCTGGTGATGGAATTTTTGCCCCGAGTCGGTCACCAAGTTTTAAGTCACGTGATAAGGCCTCAGGCACACATGCCCCGCAGGATTGCGGCAACTGAACTTTTACCCAAAACAAATATACTTGATATGATGTAAATGGGGGGGGGGGGGGGGGAAGAGCTATCTCGGGGCCCTCCGTCATGATGTTTTTCGTAAAGGTATTCAAGTCATCGTTATTAATCCTAATTAGTAACTCCGTTGTGATGCCTTCTTGCTTGTCCCATTAAACAACTCTAGTCATTAAAAACCATATCGCATGCCTCGTCAAATACAAAGGCCTTTTGTCTTCAAATCACAAAGGAACAAGATGACAGCCCAATAAACCACGGCCACCCCAGTCCCGTCGTGGCACAAGCTCCAAGTCCAGTTCAGTGGCATCACTCCCATCTTGCCTGAGAACTTTGACGATTAAAGTACGCTGAGAGAATTAAAGTCAGTCATTCGTAAAACTGGTCCTTTGCCTTAAGCGACAAACCACGCTCAGATACAAGTGAAAAAGGCAAAAAGAAAAGGAGTTAAGGCTTACCCCTTCGTTTTGTTGGACCAATTCAGCCACCTTGGAGAGACGCTCATGGTTAATCCAATTGATGGTCCCGAAGCTGCGTATTTTGTCTCCCGCTTTCAGGCGAGCCTGATCCGCAGGACTTGCAGTTGCGACACTATTCACTCTTGCGAATGGTGGCCCAAGCATCGTGGCTTCCGACGAAGAATTGCCAGTCAAATTGGATCGTATTCCACTAGACCCATCTGTATTACTGACAGAAGATGTATCGCCTTGCGCGCGTTGGGGAGTCGAAAAATGATCATGAATACCTTTCTCGAGATATTTCATGACCTCTTTGTGGTCGTAGCGAAGTCGAATAATTTTCGCGCGTATTGTGCGGACTGCGGTAGGCTTAGTGACAGTTTGGACAAAAGAGAAATACTCTTACTCTGGGCAACGTCGATATCGGCTCGTGGAAAGTCGTCAAAGGTGGTGAGCGATGAATTCATGTTAACACCGTGCTGCGAAAGACCCAGATGATTAGGTATGTCCCCAAGGATAGGGACCATCTGATTACTCACAGATGTAAGGACACTGCTTAGCGCCGAAAGTTCCTCTTCAATACATTCCTTTTCCTGCATCAATTCGACCATGGAGAGCTTGGCCGGGTCGCGGCCAGACCCTCCGGTCGTTGTAGGACCGGAGGCCACTGTTGGAGCATGAATATTATCGTCCATATTTATTCCCAACCTAAGATAAAACCAAAGGGAAGTAAGGCATCGCTGCTGTGGTTTGGATAGAAGGCCAAGAAGAGTTGTCTGTGACAGTGATAAAATAAGGTGGTGGTGGTGGTGGTTTGGTGGGTCTTTGTTCAGGAAATCTGGGGGAAGTTCGAAATAAATCTTGGCGTATTAAATGGTCTTTTTAGAAAAGACCTCCGTCGCTTTTACTTATACTCTCGAGTACCGCAATGATAAATAGACATCGATCGATTTGAATATCTCAACATAGGGATAATCTGACGTTTGTGGATATACCTCATTTATGCGTTTTGTAGATATTATCTATTTGATAGCGAGCTTGTTCCAGATACATTTCACTTGATAAGTTTATTCCATATTAAAAGTAGGTCGTACTTACCCATTGCTTGCGCTGTTCATGATCAGTCGCATGTGGATTCTGTAGGAAGGTGAATCTTATCTTCCTTCCGTCTTGGTCTGTTTATGTTTAATGTACTATGGGCCATGACTTCCGTTTATAGCATGTGCCTTGCAGTTTTCTGCCCTACAAGCTTCATGTATTCTTACTGAAGGGATGGGTCTCCGTTCCTCCCCGCCGTGGACTACCCCATTCTGTATAGAATTGTTGTTTTATCAGCCGCCATGGAAGGCCTTAAAGAAGAGGTGGCTGAAAAGCACCATCTGGTCATGGGAGACTTCGAATTAGAAGCGAAACGCAGGAATTTAACCGATTCACATGCATCAGAAGAGCATATCCCAAGTTTCCTACCGTTTAAACGTTGGGTGAACAGTTTTAGGGCAAAAAAGAGCTACCGCCCCTGTCAGCGTCTAAGATACGTGGAGGGCTGGTCGGACACTACGCAGGCACGCTGTGATAATATTGATGCATTGCCCTGTGGAGGAGGAGGAGGAGGAGGAGGAGAAGGAGGAGGACAGGATCTGCAGTGGGAATGCCTCTCCGGTCACTCATCCAATCTGGACACCATCAAGACGAGTACCTTGAGCGTTGCCAGTCAAAGTGTAGCGAGATCAAGGCGAACCACCCAGAGTACGAATCGGAGTTTCGGGTCAGACTTACGTGGGTCTATAGAGAGCTTGAGACCAGCATTGAGCTTTTCGATCGATGAGGAAGCACATAACCGCGCTGTTAAGCGGCGTAAAGTTCTTCGAGAGATTATCACTACGGAATCGGATTATGTATTTGGCTTGAAAGCCCTTATCAATGTATACCTGCGATTGGCTTCAAGAGTACGCCTCGAATCTGACTGATTGATCATCCCAGGTGCTTTTCCTTTTCTCCACAAGACCGGAGATCTACTACAACCTCCACCAAATTCGCGAAATTCACGAAGACCTTCTGGCACGAATCCGGAAGGTAACGCCGATGTCTAGCCTTGCTGCAGCAGAGTATGACAGATTGGTGCCTCATGGCGTACATGACCTTTTTAATCCTACTGATCTAAGACCAAGAGCACTTCAGAATATATCCATGAGAACACGTTATTTCAAGAGATCCGTACTTTCCCGCTGTAAAGCACTTGCAGCAGAAGCGAATGAAGCACTGGAAGTTGCGGTCGAGATTGGAAAACTAGTATGTTGCCCGAACTTGTTTGATTGGCAGTGCTGATACCGAATTCTGCAGTCAACGTCGTTTGCAACATATATGGATTTCTGTAGCAATTACGAGCAGCTTACGGAGGATGTGGATATTCTACGCCGATCAGTGCCGAACTGGTCAGTTTTGGAGAATGGTATCGAAGCCTTGTCGAAGTCAGTAGCATCGATTGAGAACCAGGCCGTCGAACAAAATAAATCGATGCTGTTGCATGACCTCCTCATAAAGGTTTGAATTAACAGTGCAAAAAGATGTGCACTCAAATGCTGATGAAGCCTTAGCCGATCCAACGCCTTTGCAAGTACCCATTACTGCTTCAAGAGTTGCTAAAGTGGACCCATATTCAGGATGACCCAACTGCGCATGACGGGATACACCAAGCTTTGGAGGGTGTCCGTACCATGATCAATCATATCAACAATGCTCCTGGTAATCCGATCAACAAAGGGATGGTACAAAGGACCCTCTTATTACAAGAGATGCTAAGGCTCCCCAAATTGGTAAGTAGCTGGATTGATAGAAATCAAGAAGGTTGCGTACGAACGGAATTTGATCGGGTTTCAGGTTGCTGTTCATCACATTTACAAACAATTGGGACCCATGACTCTTTGCGGAGTTCTCCATGCCACATATCAGTCTTCAACATACCTTGCAGGCGATTATATGGTCTGTGTCTTGTTCAAGAGCCACTTTTTGCTGGCCAAGATCAAGAATGACAATCGCAGCTTAGAAGTAGTCGCGTGCTTATATGTCTGTGATGCGAAGATCGATACTCTGAGGAATGGAAAGGGTAAGAATACTTACTCCTTTTCCCTTTCCCTCTCCCCCCTATGCTAAGCCGTAGAACAGGCCTCTGTTGCCATGGATGCTTCTTCTCATGGAAATTGGTCTTTCAATATCAAAATAAAAAGTTTGAGCTTGTTTTGAGTGCCTCATCTGCTTACGAAGAAAAGCAATGGAAAACCGAGTTTCTTAAGTCAGCCGCACTATCGGCTGATATGCAAAGGCCAGTTTCCTCGGAGCTGCGAGGATATTCCTTTTTGACCTTGGACTTAGCCCCTCTGGATCAAGAGTCAAGTTCCGAGCCTTCATTCTCTCGTACGGCCTCTGTCCACTCGGTAGCAATTTCGCGCGTTGAGCCCGACCTACAACATGTGGTGGTCAAGAGAACGCACTGCCCACAAAAGCTAGGACAGGCTGCCTGTCATGTAGACGGCGAGTTCGAGCGACCGAAATTATCGGTTCCAGAGTCACCGATAATACTGACAACTCGGAGACAAGACCGAATAAGATTAGAAAGACTTATCTCTTCGGTGTATACCAGGGAATGTCTCCCATACCCTGGCATGAGCTTAGCGAAAGGCGACATTCTCTTTCGGCCCGGCACAATTATGAGGCGCTTTACTGTCCGTCCGGGGGTCTCCAGACGTTCAAGTTCCGTGAACATTCCCCGAAGCCAGTCTGTTGTTGAAAAAATTTATTCTACCAGAGAGACTACTCAGCGAAAATGGTCCAACGACAGTGATAAAGACGAGGTTTTACTCGATAAATGGGGATTTACCGATGAGAAGAACGTTGGCTGTCTTCCGAAATCCAGCATGGGGACTATAAAACGCAGTAAGACATTAAGGCTAAGGAATCACCCACGGTCATCTTGCGGCCTTAACTTCCAGCAGACAGACAAGGGAGACGGAAATTGTGAGCGCTCTGAGAGTCCTTCATTGAAAACATCGATCCGGATCATGTTTAATTCCATGTCATTGAGGCGACCTAAGAAGAGCCCGGGCTTACGCGTTAGTGTTAGTGAAGGATAATGATGCAATTGGGATGGAGTCTATCTGCGGTATTGCGTCAGGGGTTGAGGGTCCAAGTCCTTTCATGGCGGAAAGGAAGGTATCTATTTGTTTCGTATCGATTCGCTGAGACAGCAGGGAGGAGTAGAGTGGGCTGAGAAATGCGGTGGTTGGCGAGGCAATTAGTATCAGATAATGGGAAAATCTCCCCACCGAGCATTCGTTGAGTGCATCATCGACATACTAAGTGAGTAATATGCCTTGCATTGTGATCGGGGCAAGAAAAAGCGGAGCCCATCGTAAGTCATTTAGTTTCATCTCTCACGGAGTATGACGTCGGAGGGTTGCTCGTTGACCATCAAATCCGTAGCAAACGACCGTATTTAGAGGCCGTGTCAACCCTCTTCAAATGTGGCATAGAATAGCATATTCACTTTCAAAGAACAATTGTATCTTACTCTCATATTGGTCTACTTTATTTGTTTCGAGATCCTCCTACGTGAACGACTCTCCAGTCATTGACATCGTGAACTTTCCATCCCACCAAACCACCGAGTGACGTCATCATATACTACCTCATCTCACGCGACAGCTTCTAGACCTCCCAACTGCTTTCCAACTTCCATTCCTCTCTCTCTCTCTCTCTTTTTTTTTTTTTACCTCGAAACCGAACAGTGAAGCATCAATTACTTCTCTCCAACTGCAATTCAATTCTCCAAACACATCAAAATGCCTCGTGCCAACGAACCAACCGCCAAGGTCTTCTACAAGGGATCTTCTGAGGACTTTGTAGTCTTCGTCGACGGCATTGAGATTCTCAACAACTGGCGTAACGATCGCTCAATCCCACTGGCGGATGTGGTAAATGGCTTCAAGATCTTTGTTACTCACAAGTACGTTTCTACCGTCTACCCTCTCGCCCCTCGCCCCAGAACAATTGCATATACTAACACCCGTCTTAACTAGGCACGGTGCTCAAGGTATCATGGACGGTGCTAGCAAGGGTATCCTGGAGACCGAGTTCGGTACTTCGAACGAGGATGAGTGCATTATCAAGATCTTAGAGAACGGTGAATACCAGGCTACTGTGGTATGCGCTTCTTGCCTTAACCTCACTTCCATCCTGAGATTCGATGCTAATTTATATTTCTAGACGAGGGAACGCCAGGATGATACCAATGTCGCTAACGGCCCCGTTGGCATTGCCCGGTGATTTTTTCTAAATTTAGTGGAGCTAAGCATGTTTTTATGAGCCATGGATTGGGTTGTTTTTCGGGGTGTTTTTATCTAAATGTTATTATGTATCTTAGGATGGGATGGATGGGAATATGCATGCATAAATCATGGCATCAATGAAATGATTCCACTGAGTGGAACGTATTTATTTTTGATTTTCGTTCCATGGGATTTCCTCTTTGTAGCATCATACATTAAGACTTAAGAGTACGAAGGTAGTATTGCTCATGTAATTGTATAATTCTAAGATCCTTGTATATAGTTACATTGGAGGGGTATTCTTCTTGGCTTGTCGTCGGCTATTCACCCATTTCCCGAGTTCGTTCCATACAGCCTGTTTCTCTGCTATACTCATCCCAGCTGCCAATCCACTAGTAGTGGTGGCAACGAACACCGGCACTCCGTCCCACTCCTCACTCCGACCCATGTTCTCTGACTTGTCTTGCCATCCGTAGCGGAATTCTTCCTTCCGGATCGCTCGACCCTTACGAACCCGCCATACGGCCTCCCAGATACTCTTGCCAACAAGACAAACCGCCTCCGGCCGTTGTTTGGCTACTTTCTCTTCTAGTACAGGTACGCCGGCGTCCATCTCCGCCTTGCTGAGCATGCTGGCGTCGCGGGTCGGACGCTCTACGATATTGGTATTTCCGATATTATATAATTCCGGTAGCCGGTAGGTATCAGAGGGAGGGTGGCGAATCGCCGTTATCCCAGACCAATGAAGGAGCTTCCAGTATAGGTTCGATGGGTGGGCGTAGACGTACCCCGTGGCACCGGTCATAATACCCGGGTTGACGCCTACCAGGAGAAGGGTGAGGTTCGCTGGGATGGTGTCGCGAAGGAGCGAGACAGGGGAAGATGCCGGTGTACTCTTGCGCGAAGACGGCTGACGGCGAGCGCGAGAACGACCTGGTGTGCTTGGCTCCGTGGCGGGCGAAGGGGACGGCGAGGCGAAAGAAGCTGGCAACGATGATGCGGAGCGAGAACGGGTTACCCGTTGCGGGAGGTTAAGGACGGCGGTTGAAATGGCTTTCTTTCTTCGCTTGGAGTTCGAATCATTGTCGTTGCTGGATTGGTCGTTGGACTCTGATTCAGACTTTCGTTTGAATAGTGTATCTTGTATTGAAGGGTTGCGGATGTTCTTGGACGTGTGGAAGTATTGGTTTAGCCTGCCGTTGAAACTGGTTTTCTTGTTGACGGGGACGTTTTCAGTATCATCTATGGCGAGGGCTGTTTCGACGTGGAGTTTCTCGTCGATGAGGGTTGGGGAAGTTGGAGGCGACATTCCACTATGGGAGTTTTGACTGGGATTAGTGGTGGTTGGTATCAGTTCGCAGAAAATTTTGGATAAGGTGAAGTCTAGAGAATGTTTAGAAGACTTTATATCATTATTAGCTGTCAAATAGTTAGTGTGATCATTCTATTTTCTTCCATTAAAGATCGAGCACAGGAGAATTGGTGCCTAGTAGTATGGGAGAGCGATAATCGACCAGTCATACTGTGTATTGTTAGTCACGTGTATAAAGTGCCCCATCAGGTTAGGGTGGCGAGGCGTCAAGTTGGCAAGGCATCCAGGCACCGAGCCTGTCGTATTCTATCCAGGCAGTTAATTTCCCAAGATGAGAATGAGAACCTTTGTGGTCAGCCCAATTGGCCTTAGAATCTCCTTTGTTAAAGACTAGCACTAGTATATATATGTAGTATATATGTATATATGTACATGAACCAAGATACTATACTCACTGAAGCCGCCAATCCGGCTATTATTCATCGCTTTGATATGTACGGAATACGGTGCCCAATTAATTGCCACTGGCTTGGAGCAGCTGCTTTGGGGTATAGAGGTTTGTGCTCCATGGGCTTGGCCTTGATCACTTTGTTTGTTGATCGCGGTGACAATGCCTCCATGTATTCTTTTCTTCTCGGCGTCCTCTCCTTCTGTGTCTCGCTATCGGTGGGTATCAATAATGGTTGAGCGCAATTGCACAGAGACGATCGGACTGAATTAAGACAAGGCCATTGCTGGCTACTCATATCTTTTCTTGAGGAACCGGGGGTAAACGCCGATAGTCACCCAAATAGTCATTAATCATATCGTTTCAAGTCATTAGGTCGTAATTTAAGCGCTGGCCACGCATCGTTATACTTTGAGGGAATTTCGTTTTGGTAAGGTCCAAGGTACCGGGCAGACAACCTATATCATCGTTAGACATGCTATCTCTACGACTCAAGCTTCTTCCAAATATACGAACCTCGCCTTCTGAATAAGCCCAGAAGTATACGCCTATCCCAACAAGGTAATAGATGGCGGGATCGGTTCCCTGGTATAGGAGCATAGAAAGTAGAGCGCTAAGAGGATATAGGATAAGGCGGAATTCGATACTGCGGTGCGGTAAAGTCCCGGCAAAGTATTTCAGTGGCCATTCCCATGCGAGACCGAGCAATCCCAAAAGCAGATTGAGAATTTGTAACACCGGGACCGGTTTTACTGCGCCGTCGAGGTTCTTCGTGATGAAATCCCAGAACACTTTTGGCCAGATGAAACCTTCGATGGCACTGCCTATTTGATCTGTGAATCGGTGGAACGCATTAGTTTGGCCTCTATCCAGCAGGGAAAATCATCATACATGCTGCGGCCGTGAGGATTATCAAGCGGGCCCAGTGGTTTTTGATAAGCCTTCCCATGGTAATCCGAGTCTTCTTCGGCAACTACGTAGAGTGAGAACTGAGACGCTCTCGTCCAGCGACTGGAGTTTGACTTGAAAGTCGATAGAATTGTTGTCGGCGTGGGCAGCTGTCCTAGTCATCGATTGTATCAATTGAAGCTGCGCGCAGTGTGAAGGCCAGTGATAACATGGCAAGTGAAATCGTATAAAGTTGATTGTTACTCTGCGAACAGGTCGGATCGGAATGTGATAGTAGTAGATAAAGTTAAGATTAAATGATAAATCACATCACAAAACATCAATGCGAGCAGGATCGAGCGCGGTCCTTTGTGGAGTTCAGAGAGTCATGTCCATGGAAGCGGTATGAATGGTAGATGGAGGGGGACAAGAAGGAATACATACTAGTAGCTTCCCGGCGCCTAACGAGGGACACCACATGATTTCTATTGTCCCATCAACCTATCCGTATGCGCGCATGGAATTCCATCGTACGCCGCACAGTGATATGATACGCGGATTCGTTTCAAGAACCGCTCGAGACCAAGAGCCAATTGGAAGCCTTATACCGCTTCAGAGTACATATTCTCCTCTTCGGTTCTTCACGGGGAGAGAGCTCTCGACGCTCTTGATTGGACTTGGAGCAAAGTAGAGACGTTGTAGCACCGAATTTCAACCCCAGCACTTTTACTATTGAAAATCCTGGTTGGGCGCTTTCTTCGTGCGCAAAGCAATGGTCTCTAGCAAATAAGAAGGAAGAACTGGCGAGATGGGAGGTGTTCAGTACATTAGCGCCGCGACGGTGCGTGACAGTGGAGCGCAACCTGCAGGAGATTTACGGGAACACACTTTAGTCGTCGATACTCGTGCCACTCCCACATTCTGATTGACCGCACAAGCCCCATGCTATTAATTAGGGGCCTGGTCATTGCTCTTTGACCGGGAAGATTTTGTGAAGACCCAAGAAGCGGGGAGCAGTTTCCTGATTACTGCTACGTATTTCCATGCCCGATATCTGTTCCGCCTCGGCGGTAACTGATGCTACACAGCCATATCTGCACAAGCACTCATGTCCATTCAATGTTGTCTCATAAACAAAATACAACACATAGAAGGATTAAGAAAGAAAGAAAAAGGAAGACAAAGTTCGAAGGATTTCAAGGCGATTAATCGAGACGCAGATACACATGGTCTCACCGTCTTTTCTGTATTACCACCAGCCACTGCGCTAGATCACCAACTAGTTGAATTATGAATATTTACTATTGAGTCGACTACACTAGCTATGGGGTAGATGTGACAAGATGTCCATCATGCAGAGCCGAGCAGTCCAAAACCCTCGTCCACACCACCTCGAGAGTTCGGATATCTTGGGCTCTCCTGACGCCAAGGTCTAGCCGTCAGTGGAAATCAGAATATGCACGGAGATGATTGCTACTTTGGACTAGTTCCTGAATGTTGTTATGCTGGGAAACGATTGAAAGAGCTATATTTGGCAGTGACCTGAGTTCAATACAATAAATCCATGCGATGGACGGGGTTGCTACTCGGCTAGACCGTGCGACGGGAAGCGCGCTTGCAGAGCGCCTCTCATAGGGCAACCTCAAAATGAGTGGCAGGGTCTCCACACCCAAAGAAGCAAATCATCTGGTGGCATGAGTATAAGAAAAGTCGTAAGTTAGCTACAGTGATGCCAAGGCCGTGCTGGACTCCAATCATTCTCAACTTATGCTAGAGCCACATGGTTTTCACTGGGATATGAGAAGATCAGAAGAATTTTGACGGAAGAGATAGCGATGGCCCCTCCTGATTACTATTTTTGAACGTCAAGCTAGCGGGGAGGAATAACATGACAGTGGCATAACTTGCTAATCAAGGTTCAGAGCTATTTGTGACAGATATCAAGCCCTTCATCCTCCGACCAAGGATACGAGAAGCAAGGCTGAACTCAATGAGAATCCCACGGGGCCAAACAGACGCTTCTGACTCGAGACTGTGGCACATCACCGAGTCATAAGATTAGATAGATTGAAGATATCCCATAGCGTATTTTGGGGGGTTTTGAGGCATCCTTTGGGTACGTACATACATCGGTAGAAGTGGTGCACATAGCGTTGAAGTCACTGGATGTTCGATGCCCTAAGGTAGTGGCTAGTGAGTGGATGGAGTAAATATAGCAAAAGGTGCATATTTAGTCTCTTCCCCCTCGACCGGTGGCTTTTCCCCCTCCCTCTTCCCTGCAACCAAAACCACACCCCCGGAACCAAGGAAACAAAAGAAGAAGCGTAAAATAGAAAAAAAGAAAAAGAAAAAAAATATCAAACCTCCATCACTGGACCCCACATTGGTCTCTCAACGTTCAAACCGCATCTGTTCATGGCCTTGCAACTGTCAAGCTAACAATGGTCGAATTGACTCGCGCCATGCCCTGGCACCAGCCCATTGTTGTTTAGTGTCATAATCTTCTTGCGTGTGGCTTTGCTTTCAGTTGCTTTAATCGGTCACTGAGCATTACGATCGCTGAAGCCCAGCACATGATATCGCGAAGGATCAAAGGGAAAAGGCAAAAATTACCGATACATATACGTCTTGGGAGCCTTGATATCTCGCCCTCGTACGCTGCCACAGCTAAGGGGGCTCGACCAATATCGACGTTCCTTACGTTTCTCTCAAAGATAATACCTGAGTGAGTATAGAGAAGATCAAAGTTGCATGGATTGCGGACTGCAAACATCAGAGCCATTCGTACGCAAACATTGCTCCTCTGATCTGAGGCACAGACACATTTTACTTCCGAAAACCACCCAAGGCGTTGAGGCTACAAATCGATCCTCCTCTCGTTCCGCCAGTCATTTGCTGGTCGATGACGCAGTTACCTGTTCTTAGTTCTTTCTAGAGTTGCCCGAGTGAATTGACTACGTTGCTTTTCATTCCACGTGAGTCAGCATGTCATACACATGGGGTTCTCTGTTTAGCGGCTCTAAGATCTTGTTCTATATACTATTTTGGGGTTCTCATATTCTTGTGTTTGCACTTGGATGGTATGTATGCCGACCTACATGATCTTGCGATTAGCTCACTCAGCATTCTTAGGTATTTCCAAGCAAAAAATTCAAGATTGGATGCCCTCAATGCCCTTCAATATTCCGTCTGGATTTCAAGAGGCGCAGGCTTAGTACTGACATTCGATGGGACCCTGATACTGTTGCCTATGTGCAGGAACATTGTCAAAACTCTCAGGCCTAGAATCCGATGGCTACCGCTGGATGAATCAATATGGTTCCACCGCCAAGTCAGCTACTCTCTGCTTATCTTTACCATTCTCCATGTTGCTGCTCATTATGTCAAGTAAGTGAAGGACCCCCAAGATGCCACCCATAGCTCTAACACGCAATAGCTTCTATAATGTCGAGAAGAACAACATTCGACCCGTTACAGCCGTACAGATACATTTCACTGAAGCAGGAGGGATTACAGGTCATGTAATGCTCTTTTGCATGATGCTAATGTATACTACGGCTCATCATCGGATCCGCCAGCAGTCGTTCGAGACCTTCTGGTATACCCATCACTTATTCGTGCCTTTTTTGTTAGCCCTTTACACCCACGCCACGGGCTGTTTTGTTCGCGACTCTACAGACCCATACTCCCCCTTCGCGGGTGAAGACTTTTGGAACCACTGTATCGGATACGAAGGATGGAGATGGGAGCTAGTAGCAGGTGGTCTTTACCTACTCGAAAGGCTCTATCGTGAAATTCGAGCTCGGCGTGAAACGCTAATAACAAAGGTGATTCGTCATCCGTACGGTATGTTTAGAATGGTATTTTGCCCAACACATCGATAGCCTAACAATCAATACAGACGCCATGGAAATCCAATTTCGAAAGGACAGTATGAAGTACAAGGCCGGCCAATGGCTTTTCATCCAAGTCCCCGAGGTGTCGAGCAACCAATGGCACCCCTTTACCATCACCTCCTGCCCGTTTGACCCCTACATCAGTATCCACGTCCGTCAAGTGGGAGACTTCACACGGGCCCTCGGCGACGCACTTGGATGTGGACCAGCGCAAGCCAGAGATCTCGAAGGACTCGATCCCCTCGGAATGTACGAGGTTGCCCTCGAAAACGGACAAAAGATGCCTCAACTCCGCGTCGATGGACCCTACGGAGCCCCAGCCGAGGACGTTTTCGAAAACGAAATCGCTGTTATCATTGGAACCGGCATCGGTGTCACACCATGGGCATCCATCCTAAAGAACATCTGGCATATGCGCGCTGGACCTAACCCACCCCGCCGTCTTCGTCGTGTTGAGTTCATCTGGGTTTGCAGAGATACCTCTTCCTTCGAATGGTTCCAGGCTCTCTTATCCTCACTCGAATCCCAGTCTGCATACGAGGCAGAAAATGAAGGGCGCGTGGAATTCTTGCGTATTCACAGCTACCTTACACAACGTCTAGATGACGACACCGCCGCAAACATTTACCTTAATTCCGTCGGCCAGGAGGTCGACCCGCTCACGGAACTGAAGAGTCGGACCAATTTCGGCCGGCCGAACTTCCAGCGTCTTTTCACTGCCATGCGCGATGGTCTCCAAGACGGGACATACATGCCTGGCTTATATGCCGAATTCGCAACGCAGATCGGTGTCTACTTCTGTGGACCCAATACCGCTGCTAGGCAAATCAGAGACGCAGCCGCGGCATCGTCAACTAAGGATATCAAATTCAAGTTCTGGAAAGAGCACTTCTAATAATGTTTTGTTTTTGGGTATTAGAGTCGGGCATACTGGGCTCTGGTGACTTTTTTGTGATGAGTTACGAGTTTTCTTTTATCAACATCTTTCCCCTTTTCGACAATGCGAGCTGCGTGTCATTGAACTAGTGTATGTACCTGATGATATGCAATGCCCTGTACAGTAGACCAGTATATAGTCATGAATGAATGGTTATGGTATCTTTTCCTGTAATTCATACGTTAAGGACTGATATGATACAGGTAATCAAATAAAAGGTTGTCATAGTTGCATCCGCTCATCCTCGCTATCGGCATCTTCCGGCATGGCAATTGGTAATCCTAGCGCAGCTGTCTTCTGCTGCATCTCCGCCACAAGCTCGTCCAACTCATCTTCGATATCGACATGAATCCGCAATCCCTTCTCTATCAGGACATTATACACACTGCGTAACTCATAAAAGTTCATACCATCACCTTTCCGTGATGCGCTTGGATGCTGCTCCTCGACGATATCTGCCCTAAGATGACTGAATGCAAGCATGATGAGCTCTTTGGACCAAGGACAGGCGCGCATGCCACGGTAAAAGACATCCTTGGCACGGTGGATATCGTGTTGAGATAGCTCGAAGAGGATGTAGAGTTTCCAGAGTGTCAGGTTGGAGCGGGCGGTGGAGAGTGTGCTATGGTGTGTTGAGGTTGAGGGATCTTGGTCGCCAATAGCCTTTTCAAAAGCCGCACGGACCGAGTATGGTGTAGAGCCTGCATACACAGGACGGTTGAGTTCGGTGAAGATGGAGAATAAGTGTGATGTGATTGGTACTTGGGTTGTGAGAATTTGATCAGCACGGTTGTGGGCTTTCGTCGTTATATCCATGATTGTATCCCTGACACGCTCTTCGATACGGAATCGAGATTCGTTCCAAGCAAAGAGGGACAAAAATATCGTGTTATGAGGGAATAAAGATATGCTATCTGCTAGCAGAGCACGGATCTGGGAGGGCTTGTATATGCCACTTGTGCGGGCGTGATAGTAGAGGAGTCTTGCACGCGCTTGGTGGAGGAGTTCAATAGAAACGGATTTAAACGATTTGAACTGTGCTGGCAATGTTGCAAGTTTGCTGAGGGCGTCGCTGTACGGCTGGAGGGCTTTATTTAGATCCCGGGAGTTAGAAAGGTATGCTAGTATTGCTAGACAGTCTGTGCAGGCCACGAAAGTGTTGGCTTTTCCGGCTGCAAGCAAGGCCTCTTGGTTATCTGACAGTAGCTGCTATGAGTTAGCCTAGTGGCGAGAGATGAAAGAGCGTGCCTACTTACACTATGAGTTTTCAGCAGGCTTGTCGGGCTGAGTATGTATTGTTTGGGATCCACCGGAGCCTTCAGGCTTGGACTGCTCTGAGGCATAGAATTGAAGAGATAAGATACATAATCTAAACTCCCAGCTTCTAGCATTTCCCATATACAAGTATGCCAAAGGAGAACAGAATCGACCTTCTCCCCCTCATTAAACGTCTTACTGTTTTGGCTCATAGATAGAGTAGTCTCCCACACACGGTTGGCAGCCTCCAGGTTTCCTGAGCGACGTTCAATAAGAGCATACACGTTGTAGAGCCATAGGCTGGACGGCCGCTTTTTAAGTAAGGATTTCGCGTACTTTGCTGCCTTGCTGCGGTCACATGCAAACTCCACTGCAATTGAATATGCAGCCAAATGGTCATTTCGTGGCATCGCCTCTACCAAAGATCTCAATACCTTAGAAACCCATTCAGGGTCGACATCGGACTGAGAGTTCAGTACGGCGGTAGCCCAAGGACCGATGGAGGAGAACCATGCATCGTGGTCCGCGAAAAGAGTATCGAATGAATTAACAAAATTCTGGAAGTAGACCGGCAGTGAAGCGGTATTCCTAGTATCAGCATCGTATTTAGGAGCCCAGCGATCAAGCGCGGAATCAGAGCTGCTCATGAATTCATTTCGCAAGAAGCTGTCACCCATCCAATGATTGGTTTTCCTCGAGTCGCTGGAAAATGCAATAGGAGGAAGATGACAGAAATATAAAAAGCCGTCAACCAATACGTCTATTGATGACAAACCCCACACAAGCGATAGGACCTCCCGAAGATCGGTCGAGAGAACTACACGATAAGGATCACCGTTCTCTTCATCTAAGCTGCGAGCTGGAAGGCGAGCGTTGTAAATTTGTTCCCGCTCGCATGACATCCACGACGCGAATATAGACTTGGAGTTGACTCGATTGTGCGGCGTGAAGGATCTGGGCTCTAAAAGAGTATTATGGCCGCTCTGCCAGCCCTTTGCGCCAACTTCACCAATACGCACAACTTCAGAATCCCAGAAATCCATGAAAGCTGACAGCACCTCCTCTCGAGCAGTGGCAGAGTCCATTGTCCCTGGTTGAAAGAAGGTAAGCTCTAGAATTGCTTGCCATAGACCCACTGCATGTTCGGCGAACCCTGCTTCCCGAATGAAAAGTGTCAAGCGAAGGAAGAGGTAGACTTGAACATGAGATTTCTCCGGGTTGTCGGATGCAGACCTGTTTAACCTCATACAGTCGATGAACGTAGCAAAGCATCGTTCGTAAGTAAAGTCAAGAAATTCAGTCTGCCGGAAATCCAGGTATTTGACCCAAAGGCTGATGAAATGAGAGTTTGATTTCAAAACAGCCTGCCACCGTGCTGAAAGCTTTTTCGTGTCCCAAAGCTTGGCGCCTTCTTCTAGAAGTCCGAGTAAAAGGAGATCACGAGAAGCATGGTCCCCAACCCTTTTCAGGGCTTTCTCGTAAATGGATATCTTAATATCGGCCAGGCTTTTCTTTTCAGCATACGTGAGGGTTTTCGTTTCTCCTTCAGAACCTCTCAGAAGAGATTCCTGATGCTCGATAAGGTCAATCCATGCACGGACATCAGTGGGATTGCGTTCAACATTCCTGGACAAGTCGACGTTGCGCTGTTTGATCTCTTTATCAAGGTCGACTCGCACCGTCTCGTCACCACTCAAATCAGTGTCTGATACTTCTTCCATGTCACTAGGAATGTTATCCTCATGCTTCGCCTTTCCATGAATTGAGCGATAGCCATATTTCTCGTCGTCTGAGCCCTCATCTCCTGAGGTATCACTGCGTTTCTGATGTACGGAAGCCTTAAGTGGAAGATAATCTTTCGAGGCGTCTGCTGCAGCATCTAACGTAGGTGCTGGTCGTATCCGAAGTAGTTTCCTCTTCTGCGTGTTCACCCCAGACATAATACTCTTCGATCTTGTCCTTGAACCATCGGAGCGCCAAGCATCTGCCTTTATGATCAACGCGTCTCCTTCGGCGGTATCGCGATCGATCCTATAGGTCGGAGGAAGGCCTAGCACGCTACCCCGACCTATCCGGTGATAAAGTGGAACATTGTAACGATGAATAGTACCGTATATTATATTGTACCTATCACCTTTACGATCCACAACATATAGATCGGAAGCCTCCTCCTCTAGCTTCACGGTGTCTTGCGGCACCGATCGGTGCTCGGGAATAAGCTCTCGATCGGAGTGATACGCCTCCTTATGGCCATGTTGAATGTCTTTACGTTCTCTTCGACGATCTCTAGAGCTGGAATGGTCTCGGTGATGCCTGTGTCTCGAACGGTGTCGTTTTGACTGGTATCCGTGCCTGTCTTCTTTTCTGGAGCTGTCGCGACTGCGGCGCTCGGGAGGCCGATCAGCTTCGGGTGGAGGCGCTGGTCGAGGCTTGAAGCTGGCGAACCGTGGGATGGACTTCTTCTCCGGCTAGAAAAGGAAAATAACATTCAAATTAGTTTCAATGGTAATTCCATTCTCCATGAATAGGGACCAACCTGAGAGATAGAGGAATCCATACTCCTGAATGTGAGGCATCGTGAGCCTTGAAGATCAGTAGTTTGGTGGTGTCACTGGAAAAACTCCGCCTCCGCTTCCCGCAATTTTTTCTGGTTGGAGAGGGCGGCAGTAAAAAAAAAGCTACTCCGATCACCCACCGTGCCGGCGTGAAAAAATAACCCAATACGCCTGGGGAGACTGAATTGTTGTTCAAGCTTGAGAAGTGTATTTCTGAGGGATGGGTTACTGCTTTAAATACGGTTAAGAAACAATATACGCTTCAAGATGGCATCGTCCCTCGCCGCGCAGCTGTCGCAGATTGCGGCAAACTCGACCAACCAGTTAAACCTCAAGGCGCAGAGGATAGCGCATTCACAATCTTTGATTTTCGACAGAAAGGTCGCTGGGTCCCAGGATTTCGATACGGTCTATGATATATGCAACGAAGGTTTCCAGGAATTATGCGAGTTGGATCCTCGATTTGCGCAATTCGAGCGCACGATCTTCAGCGAACAGAGCAAGGCGCAGGAGCGGACGGAGATGAACGCTGCCCAGAATAAGGAGTTAGATGCAGTTTTGGAGACCTTTCTTGCTTTGGTTGGAGGGAAATTATTGTTGAGTCCTGCCGTAAAGGCCGTTGAATGGCTCGTTAGGCGTTTTCGGTACGATGGATCTGATCAATCGACCCCGAGCTCCAAACTCTTCGACAACCATGGGCTAACAGACCGTGCAGGATACACGAATATAACACGGAGTTTACAATCCTCACATTTCTTCCATATCACACCACCCCTCTGTTCCTGAATCTACTGTCGATACTCCCAGAAGATTTGACACCGACCTTTAAAATTCTCAATCCTTATAAGAAAAGCTCAATCAACCCCCCGCGCCATCCGCTCGTGCACAGTGCTACCACAAACAAGCCATTCTTCGCAGCTTTAAATAGATACACCATCCGAGTCAGCAGGGAACAAGCCGGTCACCATGCGCTTCTGACATTTTGGGCGGGTATCGTAACAGAGTCTGTTGCTGGCATGCTGGATTCAGCGCGCTCGGGTCGACGAAACATTGAGAAGGAAAACCACGACGATATCATTATTCGAGTCCTTCCAGTTTTGAATGACGGGTTAGCTATGAAGAATGTAGCAGAGCTGGTCATCGGGTGCTACATGGTTTGCGTGGCCATTGCACAAAAAGCGTCTCTGCACGACAAGGTCATCGATAGCTTGATGGAGGCTGTGGCAGAGTCTTGGACGGAAGAAACGGTGAACTCGGGACTTGTCTGCTTAGCTGTTCTTGCCCAGAAGAAGCCGGACACTACATTACCAAAGCGTGTTTTCAAAGCCATCCTTCGATTAGAGAACCCTCTTCAGCAGTTGTCCGCAACTTCGAAACAACACCGGGCATCTCAACTACTACTTGGGTTGGTGGCAGGCTGCGTACAAGACCTCTCCAAGCAGAAAGACACCACTCGTCTTGATTTCTTGTCGCTTATGTTCGAGAGTGAACTACTGGGAGAGGCCGAAATCGGCAGTGGCATGGCCATGGTCCTGCACGCTAGTGGCAATGTTCACAAGGATGGTGCCATGTCTTTGGATGCACAAACCCACCTCGCGGATCTGGTACAGCACTTCAGCCGGACGGAATCCCTACGTCCTATTTTTCAGAAGACCGTTGCGGAGTCATCATTTGATATTGATGCTATCGAACAAAATTTGCAAACAGTTATCGAGTCCGCACCCGCTCCCAAAGCCGTGGAAGATGTAGAGATGGAAGATATGGACAAGGGAGAGGAGCAAGACAACTTCACACCAGCTCTGGAGTCTCTGGCGGGTAGCTCGTTCAAGGGCTCATATCTCAGCACACAATCCATCCCGGTGTACGATAGCCTTGTCCGGGCTTTTGCCTTGGGTATTGGGTCTCAAGAGAAACTCGGTGCCTTCGCCAACCTACCAGCTCTTGACAAAGCGAACGCTACAAAATCTCCTCAATATCTGTCTTTCTTTGTTCGGGTCTTCTCCGGCTCGTATCCCATTGGCACCAGAGTGGCTGCATTAAATATGATCTCTTCGTTCCTCACTACTGCCTCCATTGACGTGGATCTTCAAGCGTTACTGCCTTTTGTCATAGTTACTCTTGCTGATCCTTCGGAGCGAGTTCGTCGGGAGGCCGCTGGCATTTTGACTATCATCGGTAGCCTCCACAAGAACAGGAAGGGTGATGCTCCGGGAGGTGTCTGGGCCCGCGACATGATTTACGGTCAAGACAGGCAGCCCAAGAACATTCAATGGATTTCGGGTCGTGATTTACAGAAGGTTTTCGAGCGTGCTTTGCTTCCAGGGTTGGAAGAATATGTCATTGATCCAGATCATATCGGTCGAGCCCTCGAGGCTACACTGCGTGGTTCGTCCGTTCCGGACTCAGAATCGTCTGAGCTTAAGAAGGCTGTTCGACTAAGCTTTTTCACCTGCCTTTGCTCTCATGCTGTCCATATTCCGCTCTATGCGCCTAAGCTTGGTTTGCTAAAGCTTCTTAACCGTGTCGACAAGGCTGGTGGAACGACCCGTACCAAGGAGCTTGGACCGCTACTAAAGAGCTGGAGAGAGATGGATGGACAGCAAGCCAAGGATGTATGCGAGAAGGAGCGAGTCTCCGTTTCAGAGATGGAGAATCAGATTGTCTTGACGGTGACACCAAAGGAGAGAGACGCCATCACCGTGCTTTTATCGAACGTGAACCCGTATTCGGAGTCCTTGAGTCCTTCTTTCGTCGGCGCAATCTTCGGTCGTATGAAGGACGTCTGGGCCAAGGTTCCTGAAGATCGGCAAGTTCCTGCCGCAGAGAATCTGTTTGAGATATCTCTGGAACAATCAGATTCGCCTCTGGTTGATGGATGTAGGGATGTCCTGCGCAGTGTAGAGCTTCCGGGAGCCGTGCTTTCTCAATTCCTCCAGAAGATTCCTGCCACAGTCACCGATATGGAAGGTCTTGGACCAGCTCCTAAGAGAAGACGCACCAGCCAGAGTAATATGGTCGCAATGACTGTCAAGGATGAGGCTACTCTTAGTGAACTCATGGAGAAGATGACCTTCATTCTGGAGTTGGTAGATAGTTCTTTCCCTGAGACTCATCCGGAATTGGCCGACGGCTTGTTCCAAACCCTGGCTGCTCTTCACCACTTCAAGTCTCAAGTTCAGTCTGGAATGAGTTACCTGCTCAGCTTGGCACTTGGCAGCTTGCTGGCTATTGTCAACCGCTCGAAGACCATTGGTAAGCCGCAGTTCGATACCTCCGTGATTCGTGCCGATCTGGTTGTCGATTGTGTCCGCACTACCGACAGTCCTCAAGTGCAGAATGCAGCCCTTCTCTTGGTCGCGGGTCTGTCTGTCATTGCTCCCGAATTGGTTCTCCACAGTGTGATGCCAATCTTCACTTTCATGGGCTCCAGCGTGCTCAAGAAGGATGACGACTACTCTGTTTCCGTGATTGATCAAACGATTGACCAGGTCGTTCCGGCCCTTATTCAGTCATTGCGTAACCAGAAGCGTGATGTTGTGTCAGGGACATCCGAGTTGCTGCTCAGCTTCACCGCTGCCTTCGAGCACATTCCTTCACATCGCCGCCTCCGACTTTTCCACGCCCTTATTACCAAACTCGGAACGCAGGACTTTTTGTTCGCTGTTTTGTCCATGCTTGCAAATAGATATTCCATGGATAAGGATGTTTTGATCTTGATGACTGGCTTGGTCTCGGATGCCAATGCCCCTGTTGAACTTGCCACTTACAGCAAGTACCTCGGACTGGTCAGCGACTCTCTCAAGGCGAAGCCTGGTATCTCACAAGTTCTTCTTGGAATCGGAAGTGATGACGGCCGTGAGCCTCAGAAGGTTGCAGTTGACCTTCTCCGGGCTTTGGCGTATTTGTTTAGGCACTCTTCCCTCAAGTCAAAGATGGCCAAGGCTTTCGCAACAGAGGAGGGTGATGAACCTCAACAAATCCGCGCCCTCTTCTCGCAGATTTTGGAACAAACCTTGGCAATTGGAGACAACATGCAGGACATGAAGTCCGTCGGCCAGGCAAGTGGCGAAGTTCTCAGTGCTCTGTTCGGAACCTTATCGCTCGTCGATTTCCTCGACACGATCGAGGTGTTGCTTGAGCGTCCCAACGATGAACTCCGTCGCAAAGTTCTCCGGCTCCTGGAAGGCCGGTTGCGCCAGAACCCCGAGCGCGACAGTCCTTCCCAAACCAGGATGTTGGACTTTTTGTCCGTCTTGGTCAAGATTGTCGAGTCTTCGCCAGACATCCTGCTCAAGCACGCTGCGGTGGCTTGCATCGACCGCATAGCCGACAAGTATGGTAAGAAGGATCCGTCGAAGGTTATCCCTGCCGCCAGGGTTGTTGCTAGTGAGGTATGCATTGGACAGGAGGATGACCGTATTCGCATCATGGGCGTGCTGTGTCTTGCCTCTATGGCCGAAGTCCTGGGCCAGGCCATGATTCCTGCCCTGCCGGACACACTCAGTCGCTCGCTGGCCTTGCTTGAAATGAGCTTGGAGGATGGCAAGGAGAACCCCAGGTTGCACGATGCCGTTTACTCCCTGTTCTCAGCTCTTTTCGTCCACCTCCCTTACATGATCTCCGCTTCTCATCTGGACAAGGCCCTTGTGCTTTCGTACAAATCCGCCATGAACGATGAGTGTGAAGAGGAGAGCCGGCAGGAGGCACTGAGACTGATGGCCAAGAAGGTTGATGCTTCTGCAACATTCGGCGCAGTCGACCGCAACTGGCAGCATGCTGTGCAAGCCGGGCCGGAAGCTACGAAGGAAACTCTGGAAGTCGTCAGCATGGCCATCGAGAAGCACCCCAAGTCATCTACCGCGAAGAACCTCCCCGTCATTACCAACATCCTTTTCAAGGCCTTCGATTTGCGTCGTGAGCAACTCGCATTGGAATCGGATGCTACTTTCGACTTGTCCGATATCGACGAGATTGAAGAAACCATCAACGAGGTCACCATCAAGATGATTTACAAGCTCAACGACTCAACCTTCCGTCCTATCTTCGCAAAGCTCCTCGAGTGGGCAACAACTGGTGTTTCAAAGAAGGATACACAGGGCAGCCTGGCCCGGCTCACGACTTTCTACAAGTTCCTGCAGGTCTTCTTCGGCACCCTTCAGGTATGTACAATATGTTACCAAACTTTCTTCAATTCAGTTAAACCTCTTCTAACGAATCACAGTCCATTGTCACTGGTTACGCCAGCTACATCATCGAGAACGTAGTATCAGTCCTCAGCAAAGCCAGCCCGTCCAACCCCAACACCAAAACCCTCTGGCTGGCAACTATGCGCCTGCTCAAGAACGCCTTCGAGCATGACCAAGACGGTAAGCTCAGCAACATTTACCACAACCCCTAACACAAGCAGATCAACTAATCCAACCCGAAACAGAATTCTGGCAATCCCCTTCACACCTTACCAAAATCGCAACACCCCTAATCTCCCAACTCGCCCATGCCACTCACCCCACAACCGCAACCCTAGTCATCAACGAAGCCATCCCAGCAATCACCGAACTGGCCGTGGCCGCCGACTCCACAGATAACCACAAGGAACTCAACACAGTCCTCATGCGGTACCTACGTCCCTCAGCCGGCCCCACCGGCAAAGCCGCCGGCGGCGAGAACCCGCACACGCGTCTCGCAGCCCTCAAAACTGAACAGTCACTCACAGAGCAGCTGGGCGAGGAATGGCTTGCTCTGTTGCCTGAGATGCTGCCGTACATCAGTGAACTGATGGAAGACGAAGACGAGAACGTGGAGAGGGAAGTTCGCAAGTGGGTTAAGCAGATTGAGGACGTGCTCGGAGAGAAGTTGGATGATATGTTGACCTGATGTGCTTTCCGATTGGGACGAAGTCAAGTTTTCAAAAGAGGTTCTGGGCATTTTTTAGGCGTTGGGAATTCTGTCTTGAGTGGAGATGTTTTCTTTTTTGTGTATAGAAAAGTTGGCTTGGTTTGTTGTGTGATGTGCTGTTGAACATATAATTCATAGATTTGGTTCTACCTATCTACCAGTAGGACTTTTTTTTTTACAAACATCATGACGTCCCCGTTCATCTTCTAGTATAGTATATATACCACACAGCCAAGAAATACAATCAAAGCAATCAGCATGACCTCCTCCACTAGCACTTGATACGTTGGGTTCTAGTGGAAGGGTTAAATAAACAGAATCTCGCAGTTGTTCTACTGTGTCTATCCAGGAAAGAGGTATCTTTTGTTGGATCAATAGTGTCTAATCATAGCGAGGTACTTAGAAACGAGGCACATTGGGATTGGACCCTGGACGTGATGATCCATGTCAAAAGATTAGAATGAACAGTCTTGAAAATCTTCTAATAGATCTCTGAGGATAATCCTCAAATCCTGTGGTATATAGCCAGAAAGACAGATTCTCATTCCGGACATTTGCGTATTTCGACCAGGAAAAATCGATATGGTTTTCGGATTTTTGCAAAGCGTCAGTACCACCGAGTTCTCGAACAAGCTGAGCCATATTAGTCAGTACATCATTTTAATATCTAGCAAACAGGTATATTCGAGGACAAATAGAAGTGAAGGAATAAAGAAGACATACCGTGCCAATAAGGCTGTGTTCCCCAACTCTATCCATACTGGTCTCCCACCACATTCCACCTGCAAGGCCTTTCGTGTTGATATACCCCACCTTGAAAATGGTCATATTCATCGTATCGTAGGAAACATACATCTTTGTTTTCTCATCGTAACTATAACTGGCCCCTGTCATGGGTAGCTCAACAACCTTTGCATTAGCCAACGGCAAAACCTTGTATTGCCAAATTCCGGCATCGCCCATGCCCGTCCCAACATCAACGTAGGGCTGCCCTAGTCCAGCAGTGTTGATGAATGAGCGGCCGTAAAGCGGCATTCCGAGGACAATCTTTTTGGGTGATACGCCATTGGAAGTATAGAATTTTATAGCATCATCTGTACTAGAGGGAGTGGTTTCGGGATTAGAGGTGTTGGGATAGAGATTAGCTGCGTGGCCGGTTGTATTTACCCAACTGCCGACGTAGTCGTATGCCATCAGATTCCAGAGATCGAGATATTGATCCATCTCAGACGTTGGAAGAACTTTGTAGTTCGAGGCACCTTGAAATCGGCATTAGTTCTCTATTCTTGTGTCTTCGAAGGGACCACACATACCGGCTGAGCAGGCAATAGTTAGCAGGAAATGGTTGCCGTTCGCATGCTCATTGCTGCATCTGTCCAGTTCCTGTTAATTAATTCTTAGCGATGTCATGAAAGAAGGGTATGAGAATCATATTAGAAACAACTCTTCTTGTGTATTTTCTGAGTGTATACGTAGCACATACCTCTCTTACTTCCTTCAGGAGAGCCACCATATCTTTTGCACTATCTATTTTGGGGTACTACATGCTGTAAGCCCTCATGAAATGAAAAAAAAAGGAATATATGAAAAAGAAAAGCTTACCTCCCAATCGATGTCCAGCCCATCAAACCCCACGTCATGCATCAACTTGACAGCTGACTGGGCGAAGTTCTTTCGGTTTGCATCAGCCTGGAGAATACCAGCCCAGCTTTGTGAGTTTGTGTACCCGCCTATTGACAGAAGAACCTTTAGACGTCTGTTTTTCTGCTTTAGGAGACCCAGTTGTTTGATGCATCCGTAGACATTGTCTTTATCTTCTTCCGCCGGGTCGCTAGGGAAGTGTTTATCGTAGTTAGACCATTGATCCTATAGCCGAACCTCACCGGTTTCGGTGATGTTCGCAAAAACATAGAGGACGTGGGTGAGTTTGTCGACGGGGATATGCTGCAGATAGTGGTCATTGTATATGGCCTAGGCCTTCATGTTAGGAAAGTATCTTGTGCTGGTTGGACAGGAATGATGGTGGGAGGTAAAAGCTAATACCGACCCAATTTGCATAGTATGCCATAGAGATATACCCGTTCTCAGGCTTAGAAGTATCATGTTTATCGTATGAATGCGGGATGAGGGCAGCGCTGGTGAAGCATGCGAGGCCCTAGAGGAGGAGGAAGAAAGTTTTCATCGTCAATGATGCTAGAGGATGTCCAAGCATATGTGTTCGACTGAGAAGACACTTCGATACGGTGCAGTCCGGATTGGGCATAGAAGAAGCCTCAAGGCTGCATAGTAATAGCCTGAAGGTGAGGTGTTGTTGATAAGAAGGAACCCATGTTGCATTTATAGTCTTTTGCTGCATGTCCGATATCTGTATAACGCAATAATTAATGAACATCGGCGGTCTGTCACACACTATGGGGAATCAAAGGGTGATTTACTCTCTTGGATGGCTCTTATAAAGACGCATAGTCCGTGCTTGCTTTGTCGGGGGGGAGAATACTTGGGGATTCTCTTGCTTTGCATGGTATTGTTTTCAATGTATGCTTTTGTTTGGCGGGACTTCCAGGGTATGTTTCAAGTCTGGTGATAGGAGATTCATGGATGCGTCAAAAGGAGGGTCTTTTATTCGATCCACCTTTTATGTGTGACCAGGAAACCAATTGATGCCTGTGATTTCAGGCAAATATCAGGTCTCTTATACCCCAGGAGTTAGGTTAGGCTACATATACGGAGTAGAACGGAGTCGATATCTTGATTAAGTTAGACTGTATTAAACTAAAGTATTCTAAATTAAATTAAGCTCAGCGCGAAAGACTCCAAACATGATTTCGGACCCTGGCGATAAACGGATATCTCGATCAAAAACGCCCTGGTGCGTTATTGCTATGCGAATTTCATACAACCAAAAAGAAAAAAGAGAATCCGGGTATATTCAAACAAAGCACCTTCTCTCAACGCCGTGGAAACATGAACTTTTGTAAATCGTGAAACGCCCTGCATCCGGGGTTGAATGCGGGAAGATCTTCAACAAGCAGTCCCCACGCTTCCAGCATTAACCCTGGGGACACGTACTGTAGACATCAGATCGATCGAACGGTCAGGAGGTAGAATCGGGCCTTGATTCTCCGAATACTCTGGTGGCGCCACCTGGACCAGTGTAGGGGGCGCGACACTGCGAGGGCTGAAGAATTCTGCATTGACTTCATGCTGGGTGATCTCATGCTCAGAACCCTTTGCCTTTGCATCGGACCGGGACCGGCTTGTGAATTGGATGGGGATCTTTAACGTAGCCGTGGGGGTCAGGATATTAGCGTTTGGCGTATGGTAAGAAATGCTGAGTTCGAGGCAATATATGCGAGAGATCAGACACGAGTGGAAGGTCGGGACGAATGCTCTCGTCTTGGGAAGAGTGATGGGCACAACGACCGATGCGGTATAATAGGTCTCTCCGGTAAAAGACGCCGATGGACCGGTTAGAGATTCCGAGGATGATGTTGACTCCATTGAGTCGCAGCGACTGAGGCCCCTTGGGCTGGTATGCTTCGTCCAGTGTGCAGATGCCACGCACATGGTGGAGAGGGGGACCGTCTCGGTGTAACACCCTTGACCTATCTGTGCCCAGGGCACATTTCGGGGGGAAGGGTAATCACCCCAGGGCTCTGCGCTGAACAGACTGGACACTCGAAGCTTACTCCATATCGTGCCCAGGCGGGGAGGTTCCTCATTGCCCACGGGATCGAATCGCAAGTGTACTGTAGCAGCAGTGCTGACCGAATCAGTGGCCTCGCTATTTGGTGGGCACAGTTGCACAGGCTTGGGCTGCGATGAGGCGACAACCAGTCGGCCCAACTTGCCTCTCATGAAACCGCGCTTGACGTCCTTCTCCTTCCGAATGCAGTAGCTGTCGTCGTCCGCGATGTTCAAAGGTGGCTCCTCATCCACGGCCGGAATGATCCGCACCTTCTTTCCTACCGAAGCCAAGGCCTTTGACGGGGCATTCTCTGGTTTGCGTTGCACGCTCACACGGATCAAATAAGATATCCGGCACATATCTGGGGCTAGGTCATTCAAGAGCGACTTGCCATCATTGGCTAGCATTGGATCTCCGAGAGAAGGCGGGAGCAGAGTGTGAGAGCGTTCGACATGGGCATTCGTCTTTGCATGGCTACATACATGTGGCAGGAGACGATCGGGCACGACAAATGTGAATGGAAACTTGTAAGTGCGCCCGGCCTCCAGCACACGGGGCATAGGATAGGCAGAGTCCTCAATCGGTTGGCGAAGTCGGAGGAATGTCTGGTAAGCACCTGTACGGCCTGGCATCGCTACACGCTCCACGGAAGTTCTCGATGTTCCTGTATATATGAGTAAAGGCTCCCTCCAGCTTTGCTTGATCTATCCTGTCTGGGATTGCCTTACCCTCAAAGGTGATTTCAACATCATCAAAACGAGTATCACGGTCTACCGTTATCACTACCGTCCCCTCAATGCGATCCTTAGTGGTATATGAACTGACAAGCCCTTCGGTCTCTCTGGTGAGTTCGATGTCGACCTTGGGACGTGACTGCGTCAAGGACTCCAACGTGCTGGAGCTACGAGTGACAAATGAGGTCATTTCGGCTGTATTTCACAAGTACAAGAGATAATACAGAGAGAAATGCTCAAAGAGGTTGTGGAGAGCGCGTCATGCGCAGCACCTCGGACTGGTAGTAAAGAGGAGAGATGGGTACTGAGCAAAAGGAATTAGATGGCAGCGTGGAGAAAAGAAGAATATAAAAAGAAACCAAGGGAGACGCCAGCTGCGAGAGAAAGGTTCTAAATTGAATGTAGGGATGGGGTGATGGTTGTCGTTGGGTAATAGTAATAGCGAGCTGTGGAGATAGTTTGATGTATACTTGCAGCACACTCAAATTAGATGAACAACGATAGATATCCTATTGAAAGACCCCCGGCAATTAAGAATATTAAATACCTAGCTCATATCCCCCATTCTACGTATTTCTAATTGACCAATTTGAGGACATGTTAATCCTCAGGGCGCAAAATGAGTCACGAATCGAGCAAAGAAAGAGAGAATCCATTGATCGGTCACCCTCAGCACGTGTTGACGATAATCCACTTGTTGGAAAAAAATAAAAAAAAATAAAAAAGATTAAAAAAAAATATCAAAATAAATTAAGGCCGAACCAACAAAACTCTCACACCGACCACATGAATGAATGAATGAATATTTTCCATAGTTCGTCTCCATAACACGAATTCCGGCCCAGATCCACTTTTCCCAGCGATTGGTCCAACTCCCGATGATCCTTTGCGCCCTTCCGTGACATTTGCAGTCAAATCCAATCCCGGATAATATCAACCCTTACGCGATGCCGACCTCACGCCCTGTGTCATATTGGTCATGAACTCTACTCCGGAGTCAGAAGATATTTTCCCCCGTGGGATATGGAGAAGAGGGGGAAGAAGAAAGATAATGAGTTAATAGTAAGCAACCTGACAAATACACAGTACGGAGGTTGGTGACGATCATTAGACCAATAGTTTGGCATAACCCTAAATAGAAAACACCCTTTAATGGGACTTCAAACTCCTTACTCTCTAGCATTCCAACCAGGTTCCTATCGCGTGATGATCGTAGATCTCACACCATACTGAGTAGGGTCTTCTGATGACCGTTCACCCCTCATGAACTATTCGTCAATCATTGTCCATAGTCTATGGGTTGTCTTGCGTGTTTTACTGATTCCCAACCTTGAGACATGTGTGACCGACCGTTTAGCTCTGCGCCCTACACCTTCGGGTCGAGATCCACGTCTACCGCACTTTCCTTCGTCCAAGATTCTTCGCCAAGGGATCTATCGGCTTAATTTATCCCATTGGTTGTCCATGCGTTTTCTTGGTCTCGATGCTGTCATACTTCAATTATTAATCCTGATCATCTGCAAAAATTGAACTCAAAAATCACCCTGGAAAGAATCTTAAACCATTCCCCTTCTACCTCTCTCCTGAACAAGAACAGTGGAATCCCCATAGTTCTAGCGACTTCATTTCCTGCTATATATCCCTCATTATCATTAGTCACTCCTTCATTAGAAACCAGGAACGAGGGTACGCTATTTTCACTGTCCCCAGCCGTTTTTTCCACGGGTCCGCGTATAGCCGTGGCTAAGCGACATCCATGAGCCGACCGCCACGGTATGCCGACGGGAAACTAAGAAAACTTGATAGCATCTTAAGTGATACGATATAATAATGGTTTCTAGCGATCGATGTCGCCATCTGTGAAAATTTTCTCTTGCTTACCCCGGCCCGGTCCCATTTCTCCTTCTTGGCAGCTGGGCTAAGTTGACTAAGGAACAATCACCGAATCACCGAATTACTATAGAACCAAACCATACAACGATTTCTTGTCACGCCCGTAGCCCTAACAGCTGATCTGGGAGAATAATGCTATAGAAGGAACAGGTGTAAACCAAATAGAGCCTGATCGTCTTCATGCAAAACTTAGCTGAGTAGAAGAAAAACAGCTCTATAAACTCTAAATTATTATTCCCCTGTAGATCACAAGCAGATCCAGCAGCTACAGGCGGTTATTCCAGGTACTGTTGACACTCGGGCCACTTCAGACTTTCAGCTGTGAAAATGTCTCAAGATCAGCTGTGTTTTACACAAATACAGAGTGAGCTATGGTCGTAGTCTCTGTTAGATGCATGAGGTACCTCTGAATCACACAAAAGAGGTAGTAGATGCCGTTCAGCACAAACGTGCGCCATGCGATGTATTGCCTCTGATAGGAAAACACAACCGCACGAATCCGAATAGTGATATTCTAGTAACTCTTAGCTAGCACCATCGTGTAGCAAAGCATGGCATTGCCCCTTGCAAACTTAGGGTTGCTTCAGAGAACGGAAAATCTATTGCTAGTTTGTAAAAGTAATGATCGATATAGAGCACTTTTATCTTTTTATTGCCGTCAGGTGTATGGAACGGCAGCGGATGTCATCAGGTAATGAAAGCAAAACATCACAAGCCAGGATACTATGATCAGAGTGTCATAGTACCGTCAGCCCACCTGAGCCATTGGACGACAGATGAAGTGTAGTGTTAGTGCAAGTGTACTAAGTCTGAAAAATAGTGCAGCAAAGGTGCATACCATTGGCCGTCGAGCCTTGCTGGGATAGGCCGATGAGTGCTGGGAGTGGCCTGATGTGCCATTATGCTTACTTGTACTGATGGGTGGGCTTCGAAGAGACTCAGGTCTAGCACTTATCATTCAAGGCCCGTACAGTGAGTGGTCAATGCTGTAAGACAGCAGCATATGGCCGCTCCTAGTACTGGCCGTTGTAAAAGCTAGGATGTGACACAACCGCATTACAATAGAGCATATCCTTTGGCTAAATTATTTGCGTCAGGGCTAGCTACCTAGTGGAACATTCTGTAGGCCCGAAGACACAGAGTGAACAGCATTGCTGGTAAAAGATTAGAGTGCTAGCAGCAATGGTCGTTCGTTATTACCGTTGAGAAAACGATGCAATTAGCAGCAGCAAAAACCCTTGAAGAGGATTCGGTTTCTCTTTTGCGACCTTTAAGTAGGATACAGATAGGTACTAGTGGTCTTGTGTGTCGATAAGTTGATCGCTTTTCTCATAATATTTGATGTTAGCATGGCATGGGACCCCAGGTGACAACCAGCATTGATAAACGTCAGATATGGGAGTTCTATCCGACAACCTGGGCATATCGGATGCTGGTGGGCAGTCCCTTACTACTAGTATAGAAGTGACATATAGATGTAGTTACTTAAACCTTGTGTTTGCACAAATTACATATAGAACCGGTTTATCACCACGAGGGTACAATCAGAGAGCAGGGGGGTAATATATGATATTGACTAGAGTAAAGCACTACAAGAACAAGTGTCCCGACGGATAAATTACGGTTAGTATCCGTGACATGCGGATAAAACCGTACTCAAAGATCGTCGAGGGCGTCAACCTCTTTCTTGTCTCATACAGAATAAACTCTGAGAGTCCATGCTGCATCCAGCTCAAGATCAACCGAGTGAAGCGGAGGACCGAGCGAGGCAAGAGACGTCAATATGCAGATCCACACGATACTGCGTTCCCCCAAACTCTACTGGTGAAGTTGAAAACGGAAGGCACCATCTTGTACGGTAGAAGCTGTACATGATTATATCTCACAATCGATTATCGGATATCTAAGAACCCCGGTACAGTAAAAAGAAGTCGCTAGACGCCGTGTCCGCTAAAATCAGTACGCCACTCTCGTCCGCATATCCTATACAAGAGTTAGTTGAATGCTCACACAGCACGGTATCAGATAAAACATACCGAGATCTTCCGTTCAATTTCTCGCACTGAACGGTCAAGTTCCGCAGCAATCATCATCTTCGTGTCATTAGGTAATAAGAAATACGTCTCACATAAGTCACCATCAATGACGCCTTTGACAGGCGCATAGTAACTCCGGTAAATGAGGTGGTCCCGTCCAGCAAGAGGAGGGTTCTGTGCTGCCAATTGCATCTCCAGGTTTTGGAAGAAGTCGACGTCCTCTCGGCTGACAAAAGGCACGAGCATTCCAATAGTACCTTGGAACCCGGACCAGACGAGAATATCTCGCCCACCAGCTACAAGCTGGGTTTTGTGCAAGGTGGTCGGAATGTCCTGGGTGTAAACATGGATCATGAGCTCCAGACGGTTGGGGGTACCGTGGAGATAGCCACGTTCATGGATCAAATGTGCGCCCGATCCATCCTCATCAGCCTGTTCGGATATCTTCTTGGGACACCGCAGCATCCAGATATTGCCGAACTTGTCACCACCAGCGGTGGTTTCATAGTCAACCATCGTCGTGGAGGTCGTCCAGCGCGAGACGGAATCATCCACAAACGGAATCAAAACGTTTTCCTGATATTTGTATACAACATACGTAACACTCTCACGGACGTCACTCACGACAATCCTGCTGCCTTGTGTCTGGAGGCCCACGATCGTCTTTGGAACCACTTGGGCGTTACATTTCCTGAGAAGTTGTTTCATTCCCAAATCATAGATCCGGAGCATTGAGCCAATACCAGCAGCCAGTCGGCCTTGGAAACCAAGTAGAGCGAGAGGAGGTTCTTCGACCTTGGTCTTGTGGATGAACTCGAGCTCTCTTCCATCTTCTTGGAACCTGTAAATATGGATGTATCCTCCGGCTGAGGATGGAGGGTTGACATTCATGTCTTTCGCTGTTCCTACAACGAGGAAGGTCTCATCATCCTGACTAGTGAAGGGAACAGCTGCAACACTGACAGCAGCCTCATTTTCTTCAAGTTCAATTGTCGAGACAACAGCTTTGGCGTGTACTGGGTCAACAACCTGGATACACGAGGCCCAGTGACCAGAGCCCCGCGGATATCCAAATTCTTCGGGGGGTAGCACGGTTTCGTCACCAGTACGTGCCTTGGAATCCTCTAGTAGTTTCGCTCTAGTGGCTGGCGACAGAACATTGTTGTCTGATTCAATGACATAAAAAAGTGGTTGCTCAGGGTGTTTCAAGAAACGGCGGGGGGTGTAAGCGAGAGAAATCGACTGCTGCAGCATGTTGTTGTCAAGTTTTTCGATGGAGAAGATCCTATCACGTCAGTTAGCAAATGCAAATATTCGCAACAAGTAGCTGATGTGTATTTTCAAGATAAGATTGATCTCAGTAGGAACAATTGGAAATAAAATAATAATAAGCTTCCACATGGGTTTTCGGGTCCCATATTCTCATCATACGATCAGGGTAAACGGAGTAAAGTAAATAGGGAATGCATCATACCTAAGGTTTTGGCCTTGTATACCAACCATGCCTTCCAGACACTGCTCACTCGAGAAATTCCAACCCCATTCGAGTGGCACGTAA